AGTTAGGGGTGGTTTTTAGGGGTAATTTGCAGTTTATGGAGAACGCTGCTCAAAAGGATGGTCCAATAGCAAAAAGTTTCAAATTAATGTTTTAGCTGAAGCTTTTTGCTATAAAAAACTCAGCGACAGCACCCCTCTATCTTCTATAGTTTTTTTTCTGCAGCGTCTTGAATAGTAGCATGTTTTTGTTCAAGGTCATCATCAACGTTTTGCCATTTTGCGCGCATTTGTTGCAGCAGCGGCCGAATGCATAATCCGATTTCAATTTTTCAAACACCACATTATTTCTAAAGAAATCCACTCTCCAATGCTTTTTTGTTCGAATTTTTTGCTTGAAAATTAAGCGAGCACCGACTTGTCTAATGTGCGAGGAAGTTGTAAATTGCATCGAAAACTACCCCTTTCTTGCATTCACTCTAATTTCTAAACGGGGCCAAATATTTGGTGACAGTTTTCGACAATCGGCAGCCCATTTATTCCTCTCATAATGCCCCAGCGGATTTTTTTTTTCGTTAATCACTTAATGACTTATTGGCCTGAAAACGTCGCGCGGGATTTTTCAAAAAGTAAAAAAAAAATTAAAATTGTCGCATAGCGCTGAAACTTGGTACGATGGCTTTATTTATTGTTCTCTGAGCCAGCGTTCTCCATAAACCTCAAATTACCCCTAAAAACCACCCCTAACTAAAAACCCTATGGAAGTACAAGGTCGCAAACTTAATATGTTGTTTAGCATATTAGAATGAACCTATCCCTCCAAAAAAATTTCAACTTCTAATTATGTTGAGGTAACCCCTCTTTTCAGATCTCCGTTTCTTGGACTAAAGTGTAAATACCAAAAGGTTTTTAGCCATGTTTACTTGGAATTCATATTTATATATGCATTATTTACATTCATTCTTTTGATAATCAAATATTTATAAATTGGTACAAGCCATAATGTATACACATTTTTAACAACGTCCTGGCTATCCCTATTCATTATTGTTATTATTTTTTTAATAAAGAAGCCAGATACATTATTGTACCTAATTAGTTGTTTTATTGATAAGCTCTCCAATTGCACAGGTTTTGTTTATAACATCATTAAGTTATCTTCCTAGTTAAGTCACAATTAACTTGGTGGCGCCCAAAGGTAAGATGTATACAAGGAACCCATAGACCCATGGCCGCCGAACTGATGCTGACTAGCCGTATGCAGTATAATTAGGCAATTGCCAAAATAAGTACGTTATAACTTGAATAAGTGTGAATCTAGCTGCTACTTTCTAGAACTTGCTTCTATGAACCTAGATAAAATTGTTAGGGATTTAGATAAGCTCAACGCATGTATCCAATTTAATTAGTAGTAATATTTAAGAACAGTATTGCTTCTTATTTTTTTTCACATTCTAATAGAAACCAGAGCCAAAATGTCTAAATGTATTACTGGTGGCGAATGCCGTGATCAATCTTCCTGTATAAGACAAGCTGTTTGTTTGCTACGTACTAGAATCAGACATGTACTTTTTACTTCGAGAACTTTTTGAACTTGAGAAAAACCCTCTAATGGATTCTGACTATAAGTTTAGAGAGACATTATTTTACATTTTTTTTTTTGTATTGACGATTGGCTGCTATTTTATTGAAATTCTTTGAAAAAAAATGGTCCGCGGTCGGATACATTAACTAAGTGTATTACCGAGTTTGTTTATCGTTATTTATTTTCCAGTACTAATAACGTCGCGCCAGACTCGTAGACTAAACAATGACATCATATGCTATAAGTCTACACAAATCGATGATGGAGAGATTTCGCGCTTCCCTGCACTTCTCCGATCCTGATACAAATTTTCAGCTAGCAACTCTTCTATGGTCTCTGTTTTTTTTCATCATCGAGCAAGTTGAGACTTGTTTGCAAACGTAATATATACAAGGCAGTAGGTATCATATTTTTCTAATAATTTTTTAAAATAATACTTATTTTTTTATAGTACCTATCTATAATTATTAATTATTTAATCAATTAACCCAACGACGTGGGGGTCCTATGCTAACCTATAACTAACCCAAACTAACTAACCCTTGCTTACCATTGCTGTATACAGGCCTGTCTCTAGCCCTATATCGGTGTATACAACCCTATCTCTAGACCTGTATAGCTGTTTCTTGGCGCTCGCTCTCGGACTATAGTTAGATTTGGTACTCGAGACGCGTTTGGAGGTCATTGTAAAACAAACAAACACTGCTGAAATAATTATTATTGTATGTACGTTCAGGTTTAAATCGGTTTTTATGATACTCGAGCTTCAGTCTTTTTCGATCTCGCCAACAGTGGACATTATAATTATTATAAAATTATTGCACAACATTTTTTTTTTAACAAGTAAGTAAATCTTTTATATACTAATATCAATACCTACATAATCTTTTTTAGATATGGATTTGAAATCAATCAACGAGACCTGCCTCTTCAAGGATCAAAAGACACTTGTGAAATTACAAGACATGGAGCCTGGCAGAAAGTACCCAATATTTTCTGCTAAAAAAACCCAAAGTAAATTCGGACCGAGCATCCTCATTGAACTTGACGATAAGGCAGTGTTTCTTCCAAAACGTACCACCAAATCATTGGAAGATCATATTGGGCAGTTTATGGATGGAAAATATTCAATAATATACAGAGGCCAGAAGGATGTAGGATGACCAAACCAAATATCGCTTTTTGAAATAGTTGAGTCTTAAAAAAAAATTATGTTTTTGAATAAAAAATTGTTTGAGGTAAGTATTTTTTTCTTAGGCCCATCTGTCTATTTTCTTTATATTTCTTCATGTATTTATGCATGTATAAATTCACGTATTTTTTCATCTGTATAAATACATGTAGAAATATAAAAATACACACAGGTGTAATGTTATACGGGGTTTATAGATGGCGCATCAGAGAGCAGTTCGGGTAAGTTGGAGTAGTTCAGGTAGATTGGGTTAGATGGCATTGACAGCTGACTGATATTGACAGGTGACATTGACAGCTGAATGACATTGACAGATGACATTGACAGCTGACTGACAGATGACAGCTGACTGACAGATGACAGCTGACTGACTGATGACGTCACGGCGTCGCGACGCCCTGGTTAGCGCATGCGCAGACGTCACGGAGGCGTCGGAGGATGCAGAACGCATATGCTATATCTACTGATTAGATAGTATTAGAGGAATACTATCTATAAAAAAGTAATTGAAAGCCTCCGGACTACCAACATTACCTGGCAGAGCAGGCCTGTTACAATTAATATTTAGATGATTAACAGTTTTCCAGAAGACCCTGGGATCTACCCTATATTTGTACCGTAGATAAGCTTGTTTTTCATTTCTCACCGCAGTGGTGACAAAATTTTTTAGTTCTTTATGATATGACAATGAGGCAATGGTTTTTATTTTTTTATATCTTGAGAGCGCTTCTGTTCGTAAACTAATAAGAAATTTAAGGTAAGGAGTCAGCCATGGAGCTGGAGGTTTTGTGAAATTTACAGTTATTGAAGGCGCATGAATATCAGTAGAGTGTTTTCTCAGCTATCAGACCACATACCCACCTCTACCACGTTAAATCCCCTTCCAGCACAGCCATCATACCACTACCCACCTTCACTGTAAACCCCCTTCCGTGAAGCTCCTGAGCACTTTTTTTACTCAAGTGCCCCCAGCTTTCAGACCAATACCCACCTCTTCTACGTAAATGGTCCAAAAATTTTGGGGTTGGCCCGGGTCAAATTCCCAAAATTTCAGATCAAAGGCGCCGTCGATCTAGAGATTTCCCCACGGTATCGAAAAAGTTCCTACGGTTGGCCCGGGTCAAATTCCCAAAATTTCAGATCAAAAGCAACCGATCTAGAGATTTTACCGCGCTATCGAAAAAGTTCCCACGGTATCGAAAAAGTTCCCACGGTTAGCCCGAGTCAACCTCCCAAAATTTCAGATCTAAGGCGCCAATCTAGAGATTTTCCCACGGTATCGAAGAAGCTCCCACGGTTGGCCCGGGTCAAATTACCAAAATTTCAGATCAAAGGCGTCAATCTAGAGATTTTCCCGCGGTATCGAAAAAGTTCCCACGCTCAAGTGCCTTCAGCTATCAAACCAATACCCACCTCTACTACGTTAAAAAGCTTCTAATCTGAAGAGGTATCTCTTCCCATATCCCTTCACTTTCTTGAAAACTAAAGAATACCTTAACAATTCCTGCATTTGTATTTGTGAATTTTGGAGTTGGCCCAGCTCAAATCCCCAAAATTTCCGTTTTGCGGTTCCCAATATTTTTGAGTGGAAGCAAGTGGTGAAAAACCTTGCTAATTTATTAATACATCTTCGAAAAATATGGTTTGATTTTCCATAGAAACACAATAAAACAATAAATCAAGATATCATTTTGATTAAAAAAATTATACAGATTGGAATTTTGAAAATCTTTTTCCTTTCCTGTTGCCTAAATTTTTTTTGCTCATCTGCTCATTTTTGGCGGGGGACAACGGATTATGGTTTGGATACAACATCTTCTTATGGGTTATTGCTATCTAGCACAAAGTCCTTGTCTCAAGAATTGTCGATGGTAGGGTTTTTTTGTTAGAATATATTTATATGCTTATTATGTCTGATATGCTGGACTAATTTAGTTGATCTGATGACACCGCATTGTTTGAACTTTTGGATGCATGGGAAAAGTTACCAATGAGTTACAAAAACAACCAACTTCATTAAAATCCGTGATAAGCCAGCATTTTTTAAAATCCACTCAAGAATTGTGCTTTGTGATCTTCGAAAAAAATGTTTTGATTTTTTAGAAAAACTCAATGAAACAATAAATTTAGTTATTATTTTATTAAAAAATTATACTTATAAGCTATTATTTCGCAAATCTCTCTCTCTTCTTATCTAAATTTCTTTTTCGTTTTTTTGCTTAATTTCGGCGGGGGGCAACGGATAATTTTGTTTGCTAACACATATCTTTGTGGATTGTAGCTCACCATTGGAGGGTCCTCATCAAAAGAGTAGTCTATGGTAGGGTCTTTATTCTGTTTAAAAATATTTATATTTATAGTTGTATTATGTCTGTTATGCTTCACTAATTTACTTACTTGATTTGATGACACCTTATCAAGCTGACTACCCCCGTCGGCAAAAGGGCTGCTCCGTCCAGCCTGACCTTTGGTTCTCTGCGGTTTCTATAAATTATCAGTTAAATGCTGTAAACAAACTCTAGGTTTGAAAAAAATATATACCAAACATGCTTTGATGTTCAAATATACTTACCGGGGGTTCCAGGGATCTTTCAACCCACTGAAATGTATTAACCGACGTTTGGGCCACTTGCTATTTTGAAGAAAAAACATTACGAATTAAATCAATGTGCTATATCAAACAGACTTACTTGAGTTTGAGCATTGCTACTTGGCAACCTGAGTCATTTCGAGACAAAAGCGATTGAATGAAATCTCAGAAATATTGGCTCTTTTATATACGTTGGCTTTTAATTTTATTCTATAAATAAGTGGTTTTCCGTCTGTAAAAATATGAAATTATCTGCATCTTTTGTGTAGTTCATTGCTCTTTAATACGGGTAAAGATATTTCCAAGGTTAATTCACTATCTGATCAAATATAGCGTTTAAGCACTTTACATTCTTGTGCAGTAAAACGGTTGGTTTTAATACAAGTTTGTAAATTATGGATCTGTTTATAGTCTCTCACGAAGAAGGTTTTAATTAAGTTGATTTAAAAATGCAATAGGCCTCCATCACAGATTATTTTTTTCTTTTGCCCTATCCCATTTCCTATCTGTTTGTGAACATATTTGAAAGATCTTTAAAGAAAATTTGAAAAAATAATTTCAAACATCATTTACAACAATTCAACCTGAATAAATTCGAACTAATATATTTTGTACGTAAGCGGTTACCCGTGCTACTTACTGCAGGTCGGCTGCTAAAGAATTATACTTTTTTGTACTATAATATTGGACCATCGAAGAAAAAACTGAAGAAGAAAGTTGTTTTTGTAACTTCTTGGTAAGTTTCCCCATGCATCCACAGGACTTTGGCTTGGATCATAGAGACATTAATATATTGAGCGATGATAATATTTGTGACGATGAGGACGTTAATGACGTAATTAAAGTGCTTCAAGGATTAGCTTGTGATTGCTATAAATTGTGATAATTATAAAAAAAAAACATATAATCATTTGTAAGTATTCATGCTATCAGCAGGACTCTTGTTTTTTTCTGCATTTTTAAATAGTACTTTTTTTATACAAGTCAATTAGAAGGTAAGAGAGACGTTTATAATGATACATGGCCATCAGCATGGAAAAGAATGGATTATTCGAATAATGGGCTTTATTATTACAAAATTGGAAAAAATTTTGATAATTCTTCCAATGTTGATTACAAGTTACGGATTTATTTTGTAGAAAAAAACTATGTAGAAACAAAAGAATGGAACAAATTATATATCAAGCCATGTGAAAGTAATTTAGATGTAAGTCTAATAATTTTCTCTTAACAAACTCATTCAAAATTTGTGTAAAAGGGAAGGTACACTAATACCCACTATTCCTAATTATTTTTATTATTATCCGCCACCTTATTTCTATACCCACCTCTTAAAATTTTTATCATGTCACTACTTTGCCTTGATATATAAATGAAAAATGAAATGTGTTGATATCATTCAGTTTCAAACTTTTGTCAGTATCAATAATAAAATGTTCCAAGCAACCAACTACTATCAACAACCAAAAAAAATGGAAGAATTTGGTAATAACCGAAATGAAACCCTAACTGGAGAAAAAAAGTACTACATTAACAAATCAAAATCCAAGTGGGTCAGCGTTGGATTTTCCTTGGAGAGAAAATATACATATTTCTGTTGTTAAGCTGGGAGGATACAAAAATAAATGTGATTTTTGATAAAAAACAATGGATATCCTTTTTGAATAATCAAAAAAAAAATTTAAGCTTTGTTTACTCTAAAAGTACGGTATGGCAGTCTCAAAAAAAAAATTTAAGCTTTGTTTACTCTAAAAGTACGGTATGGCAGTCTGTTAGGAAATGGCTACGAAATTCAGTTCCTGTTTATTGGTGACTCAAGAATAATCAAGATTACTCAAGATGGTGGAAACGAAATTTTTTTGGCTGGTGAAACTATAAATGAACTTATAAATTTGGTTAACTTGATAAAGTATTGTTTTGATCTACTTAGGAGTCAAGAATTTTAAAATTATTACAACAGAGTAATAAGCTTGGTATCCAATAAAAATAGGGATTTGAACAAAAATGTATGCGAGAATATTTCACCTTCAACTAACCCAAATAGTGAAAACGTTTCTTGTGTTCTGGAATTGTTAATTTTCCACTCTGTATTATAGATGTGGAAACATATGTATGTAATTAATTTGTTAATAAATTGGAAAATGAAAAGTATTAATACCAACATATCTACTCCTCATTACCTTCCTCCACTGAACAAGTAATATTCAAGCTTCACGAGCTGTTTTGATGGAACTTGCAAGAAAATATAGCAAAGAGGAGGAGGCTTTAATATCTACTTACATACTTTGGATCTGACAATATTCCTCACTAGAATAAAACACATGGATTTTGCTCATTTTTTAGATAAAGTGAAAAAGTTTGTACCGAAAGAAATTATTCAGGAAGTGTTTAATAATAAGGTAAATATGTTACTTATATCATTATTAAATAAAATAAACAAAAGTTCAAAAAATGAGTGTTTTAATCAATCATTATGAAATTATTATATAAATAGAATACATTAGTAAGTGCACATATACATTGTGATTTCAGATGGTAAAACATTCATGCTTTCCTTTCTGTAGAGCCGGCTTATCTGAAAATTCCAGGACAGGCTCCAATGATTATTTTCTAATGTATTCTGACTTCTCTTTCCTTTTTACGTAAACATTGTCCAATTTCCCTGTTAGATTTTTGATAATGTCTGCAAACTTATAAACTGGAGTGTATTCCTCATTCCAACAAATACAATGATGATTATTAATTAACCAATTTGCTTGTTTACATAAATCAGTTGGTAAATGTTGAATATCAAATAGCGATCTAAAAATATAGTGGCATATTTTGGTTCCATCATAGGCATCTATAGTCTATCCAAGTTGAATAAAAGTGCCGTCTAAACAAATCCACAAGGTCAAGCGCAGGGTCGCATTGAAAATAAAAGAAAAGAATTTGTTTTTGTTGAAGTTTATATAATTCTAATTATTAAATATATTATGAATTAATATTTCAATAGCTTTAAATAGAGAATTCAAGTTATTAATTATATACTTAATTTTTTTTTTCAAATGCCTACTAATTGGGGAATGATTTGCAATATTCGAAATTGATTTTGGAAAATAGGTAGGTATTAGGCGTTTCCATACTCTCAGTAGGTACATACAATTTTGGTTAGTGAATTAATTCAAGAGTAGGTTCGAATTTCTAATTATTTTTTATTAGAGGTAGGAAAGGGATTATTGGTCAGCCCTCAAAAAAAGGTAGTGGGAGTTCTGATATGATATTTGCCAGGTATGAGTTCACTTCAGTTACATGTGAACTTTTGAACATTGAACATTCATAGTTAACATCGCTATCAATTTTTATCATTTTGTTGTTTGTTGTTTTCTGTATTTCTATTAAATATTCATAGTTAACATCGCTATTTATTTTTATCATTTTGTTGTTTGTTGTTCCCTGTATTTCTGTTAAATATTCAGGTTTTAGTGTTTGAAGTATGCGCTCTCAGAGAACTAAGTTGGTGAGTTTCATTCGATTATTTTATGAGCCATTTTAAACTGAACTTTATTGATAAGCTATTAATATTTTTTTTTAGTTACTGAAATATTGTCAGAAACGGATTCTGTCGATGAAATTATGGGATGTAATTTAAGACCGCCTAGAAAAAGGTCCAAAAAAAGCAATTTAATTATTCAAAGTAAAGAAATTATTCTAAACGTTTACAAACATGCACAACAAGATAAGCCCACATTACCCTTGAGTGATCTAGAGAAAACGAAATACCCACAATAGAAAAAATATTGAAGGAAATCAACGAAGATAACGGATTACCAAATTTCAAAAGGACTACATTTCCCAAACTGTTGAAAAAACTTAATTTTAAATTTGAAAAACGTGGAAGAAATAGCATGCTAATAGACAGGGACGAGATCGTAATATGGAGAAGGGAATATTTGACACAAATAAGGCGGTTTAGAGATGAGAACAGAAGAATTTATTACCTGGATGAGAAATGGATGAATGCCGGACATACCAAGTCGAAAATATGGGTTGACAAGTCCATTAATTCGTCAAGGCAAGCTTTTTTGGATGGGCTCTTGACTAGCTTGAAAAACCCCTCAGGTATGAATAAATTAATAGTTAGTGAAATATTTAAACTAAGTTATGTTAAGAAACTGAATCCCAAAGTGTTTCAGGTAAAAAAAATAACCTGAGATGATAATATTTATTTTTTTCCCTTGAAATAATAATATGCAAACTTAACAAGTACCTACATATAACGATAATAATTATTAAATTGTGTCATCTGAGTGGATAATAATTTACTTTGTCCCTCAAATATAGGAATATGTCAAAAATAATAAACCTTTGCAAGAATTGTAATCCAAGTAATTGTTTCCGAGGAATTTACCCTAAGCACTTATGCAGTTACCTGTTTGTATCATAAATCCCTACGATTATTAAAATTCTGCAAGAATTTAATGATAATTTTAATAAGTGAACTAAATTTCCCATTTTTTTAGGAAAAGGGAAAAGGCTGATAGTTTGCCATATTGGAAGCGAAGATGGATTTGTCCCGGGTGGTCTATGGTCCATTGAGTCCAGTAAAACTGGGGACTATCATGAAGAAATGGATGGTAAATCATTCGAAAATTGGTTCTCGAAAGTATTGCTAACTTTGGAAGAAAACACGGTGGTTGTTATGGACAATGCATCTTACCATTCATGGAGGCTGCAGAAAATTCCCACCACAGCTTGCAAGAAGGCCAACATACAAGGCTGGCTCAGCTCGAAAAATATCCATTTCGAGCAAGTTTTTTTAAAAGCACAATTGTTAGCACTTGTGAAGGAGAACAAAAAAACATATAATAAATATGTGATCGATGAAACGGCTAAAGCCGAAAACAAAACGATA